ATGTTGAATATTCCCAATTCAATTCTCTCAATGCCTCCAGAAAAAGTATCCAAGGCTCTGGTGCGGATCAATAGTATGCTGGATCAAGCTACTACTTCGCAGCAGAACATTCGGAAGCTATTGGGGAGTCTGCGGCATGTTGTAACATGCATTCCATCCGCCAAGCCATTTCTTCAACAATTATCAGGTTTGACATGGGGGCCTCGGCGATACGGACCAATTCCAGTTACTGCAGCAGCACGAGACGATCTCTGATGGTTTCGGGCGATCCTCCTCACAGCTGAACTCAATTCAGTGCCGTTATCACGATTTTCAGGAACACGACCAATTGACTACAATATTTACATGGATGCCAGCGATTTCGGGCTCTGTGCGCTATTTCCAGCACGAAGGGAGTACCTCCAAGTCGCGTTTAACCCTCAAGAACGGCTGACTATCTCGGAATTTCGTTTGATGGGGAAAGGCGACTACAATATCAATTTACGGGAGCTGATGAGTGCGGTATTTGCATCTATCGCTTGGGGTAGTTGCTGGTCGGGTGATGCCAACGACGGCCATCGTCGTGTTCGCTTCTGGATTGACAATACATCGGCTATTGCATGGAATAACCATTGCTCCAGTCGAAACTTGGAAGCTCAACGATTGCTACGAAGTCCCGCCTTACTAGAAGTAAAACATTTATTTTTCGTGACAGCTTCGCATATAGTAGGAGAGGCCAATACCATGGCGGATGCTGGATCGAGGGTGTGGCAATCATCGCAACATCGTCTAACATTGACTAACCTTTCCGATGGATAGACACAGGTCGAGCTACCGACCAACTCAAGGAATCTCTCGCAAGTTTGGGAGCGTTTCTGCGAGCAAGTGCGCTGGTGGACTCATCTCGAGAGCACTACCAACGTTACTGGAAACAATGGACAACCTGGTGTGAGTGGATGACATATTCGCGCTGGCTGTCCAGCACCGACTTAAATGCAAATGCTTCGCAGCTAGGAGCTTTTGCGGTCTATCTCTGGCGTTTTGGAATGAATAAAGCAGGAACCGGTAATGCGTACTCAATAATCTGTGCCAAGCTGTGTGTGATCAGGCGGTATCACCGGAACAACGTAGGGTATGACCCAGGTGTGGACGCAAGCCACGCAATTCTGTTACGAGGGATTCAACGGTTTACATCGCCGGTCACCAAGCGGTATCCGTTCTCAGTCCAACTACTACTCGTGATATCCCGCAGACTGGACCTCCAGAATGCTCAAATTCGCTTACTTTGGGGTGGGCTACTTCTTGGTTATTTGTTTTCTTTTACACAGATCGGAATATCTGTACATCGGGCACCGACACAACGCGTATGTACTGAAGTTAAACGGAATTTCATTTTACGACGATAGAAGCCGCATATGCAAGCCAAGCAGCGCTCTGCCGCGGTCTTCCTCCTTAGTGTCGGGGTCGTGTATCTAGCTGGCCGACGTAGGAACGAGAACTAGAGCGATAATTCCAAATGTAACTTGATATATTCTGAGTACTTCTCTCTTAAGAAGGAAAAAACACGCCTGAGCCTCTTCCTTACGACCTAGAAGCTCCTTACCTGTCCACAAATCTTTCCCACGCAGCAGTCCACAGCGAGGTACGTCCTCATTCCCTTCATCCCAGTACCCCTCTAGA